TGTCGTAACATTTTTGAAAAAGTGCTGATTTTTGCAAATTGGTGTGAAATTTGTGCTGATTTTGCATGTGTGCTGAATTTTTGCTGATTTTTGCCAATTTTGTGCTGATTTTTGACAAATATGTGCTGATTTTTGCCAATTTTGTGCTGAGTTTTGACAAATATGTGCTGATTTTTCTTGGGTAAACGTACTTTCATGAAAATAGGCGGTATTTTCACGTTGTTTTGGTGGCAGCATGGAGTGGAGGGAGGGAAAAAGGGAAAAAGGAGAGAAAATGGGAAAACAAACAAAGAGGCAAGCAAAGCAATGAAGCATTTTAAGGTGATTCGTCAAGCTCAAGTGACGTGGTCGAACTGGCATGCGATATATCGCATCTTTTAGGTCAAAAATGTCGGCAGATTTTGAATTTTCAGCAAAAAAAAGGACGATAGCCCCTGCGCATGAGCCTGAAGAATCATTCTAAACCCAAAAATCGGCAAAATTCAGAGAAATGAAATCAGGATAGTGTTTGGAAAAAAACCTCGCATTCGATACCGAAATCGATGGCTGAATCGAATGCGAGGTTTTTTTCCAAACACTATTCTGCTTTCATTTCTCTGAATTTTGCCGATTTTTGGGTTTAGAATGATTCTTTAGGCTCATGCGCAGGGGCTATCGTCCTTTTTTTTGCTGAAAATTCAAAATCTGCCGAGATTTTTGACCTCAAAGATGCGATATATCGCATGCCAGTTCGACCACTTCTTTTGAGCTTGACGAATCACCTTAAGCAAGCTTTTAATAAGTTTTATCTTAATTCAGACGATTTTAACTTAATTACGTGCTTGTGTCACAGAATTAGAATAAAGTATGCAGAAGCCTAGGATCCCCTCTCAAAACTTCTCATCCTTAAAATATGAGTCCTCTGAGATGCAATATCACGAAGTCTTTTCTAATATTTCAGTATTTTTCTCCCTCAACGTGTATAATTAATGCTAGAATATCTTTCCGAAAAATAGTACATAATGGGAACATAATTAGAACATTACATACATAAATAGAATTTACATTCATAGAATTACATAATTAGAAGTATGAAATAATCTCTTTTTTTTCTCTGACGGTCTTCTACATGAGGTGACTCATTCAAATTTAGCGCCAGAGACGTGACATCAGTGCTGCTCTCTGCGC